AGTGAACATTCTTTCTGTTTAGTTCAATCCTACTTAATAGGAATTTATTTAAAATGCTCGCTCTACTCCACACCATTAATGTCTTGTGCGGACATCCGTATTTTGACTTTCGGTTTTAAGTAAGCGATTTAAAAGCTCCCAAGTCCCAGCGGAGTCACACGTTGATTAACCGGTGGGAATATACACAATAGGCCTACCTGATATTGAACACAAGAGGGCAGTATAGCACTACGTATGACTCAGATTATTATTTTTTTATGAATTTTACAACAATTCTGGCTGTTTTTGAACGTAAACACAATTCTTAAATGAAAAAAAAGGAAAAATTGGGGAAGTTATAATATTTGTATAATTTAATTTAGAAACAAATGATGTATAATTACATTTTTAGAAGATATGAGGCTTTTAGTGTTTACTTTTTTGACATTACTTTAATCTTTTGCCATAGTTGCACATGTCTATTGGCTAATAAATGTGATGTATCTGTTGAGTTTCAAGCAATTTCAAGCAAGCTAAGAGTCCCAAAAGCATCAAAAATAATGTTAAAGTTTGTTTCGTTGCCACGGCATTTTGAAAGTGACACACTTCCTGCTGCCAGTTGGTGGCGCTATAACTTTGACTCACAATAGTCACATCCATGTGATCGGTCTCTTACAGCGAAAACACTGCTGAAGTTTCATCAAGATCAGTTAATGTATGCTGAAGTTATAACACACATCCTGTTCCATGTTTCTCGCCATAATTTCGTTTCCTCGCCACGGCCAAACCGTTCGAGATATCAAAAATCCCGTGGCACTTTTTCATCCTTAATGTCTTGACTTCACGCTGATCGAGTTTCGTCGAATTTGGTTCAGTGCTCTAGGAGCAATAATTTAAATTACATTGCATGTGTTTTAAACACAACCCTAAATAGCCAACTTCCTGTTGGGCTGGGGTAAAAAGTAAGAGTGTGAAGTATATATGAAACGATGAGATCTATATGTGTACCAAGTTTCATATTATTACATGCAAGTGTGTTTGATTTATGGACCAAATTTTCAGACCAAGTTTATTGACCAAGTTAATCTGATTAATAAACTAATTATATAAAACTATTGTCAATTCACTACAATTAAACTAGTTATATGCCTTTACTTATAAAAAATAAAAATAAAAACTTATTTAAAAAATACCAGGCTTGAGAAATGTATTTTCTTTATGCAGGTCATACACACAGCAGTGAAATGGTTAAGCCCCCTCCCCCTGCACACACACACACACACACACACAGACAGCCAGCCAGCCAGCCAGCCAGCCAAAGGCTCAGAGTGGCCATATTCAAACAAAAATATCTGAGTTTCTGTGGGTCCTAGCTAATAAGTGTCAATTAGAAAGTTGTCCGGCTCGAGGAGTACAATATACATACCAATTTTTGTAACTCTAGTTAAAACTAACCACCCCACTTTTGTCAAAAGGTGGCGCTACTGAGCCCTCACCACGCCCGTTTCTGCAACTTTGCACATGTCTACTGGCTAATAAATGTGATGTGTCTGTCGAGTTTCATGCAATTTGAAGCATGCTAAGGGTCTCAAAAGCATCCTAAAAGCATCCTAAAAGAAGGGTAAAGTTTGATGCGTCGCCACGGCAACAGTTTCAAAGATATCAAGAATCCATTCACAGGTCTACATCTGCCGTATGTTTACATTATACATATGAAGTTTGAAGCAAATCGGGTAAAAATAAAAGGGTGATATCTAAGCATTTTGAAAGTGACACACTTCCTGCTGCCAGTTGGTGGCGCTATAACTTTGACTCACAATAGTCACATCCATGTGATCGTCCTCTTACAGCGAACACACTGCTGAAGTTTCATCAAGATCAGTTAATGTATGCTGAAGTTATAACACACTTCCTGTTTCACGTTTCTCGCCATGATTTCGTTTCCTCGCCACGGACAAACCGTTCGAGATATAAAAAATCCCCTCGCAAACTTTCATCCTCAATGTCTTGACTTCACGCTGACCGAGTTTCGTCGAATGTGGATCAAAGCTCTAGGAGGAGTATTTGACATTCCATTGCGAGCGTTTTACAAACAAACCTCAATAGCCAAATTCCTGTTGGGCTGGGGTAAAAAGTAAGAGCGCGAGGTATAGATGAAACGATGAGATCAACGTGTGTACCGAGTTTCATATTATTACATACAAGCGTGTTTGAGTTATGGACCAAGTGTTCGGACCCCGTTCCAGGGGGCGCTGACGAGCTGCCCTGCCACGCCCGGGTACCATCTTCAGCCCGGCTCTGATGGCCGCGGGTTCTGACCCGTGTGCAAAGTTTCAAGAGTTTTCGAGCACGTTAAGGGCCCCAAAAGTGCCCAAAAGGTAGTAAAATAATAATTATTATAATAATAGAGAAGAAAAATAATCGCAAGGAAAACAATAGGGCCTTCGCCCTTTCAGGGCTTGGGCCCTAATAATAATCGTTAGGAAAACAATAGGGCCTTCGCCCTTTCAGGGCTTGGGCCCTAATAAATAATCCTTAGGAAAACAATAGGGCCTTCGCCCTTTCAGGGCTTGGGCCCTAAAAATAAAAGTGTATTATGAACTTAACACAAGTGCTGGCATAGAATAAAAAAATAAATAGATTTGAGGTCAATGTTGTGAAGAAAAAAAAAAAAACTCCAACTAAAACAACAAAAGTGCTTTCCTGCCAGCTAGTTCACATGGTATATAAAGGTACAGTATTTAAGGTGAAACAAGGCATAGCTTGCTAGAACGTATGAAATCTTTTTAACTTATCTTTTTAAAGCGTCTGTCTTTAATCAAATTTAACTGAAACTATAGTTGCCCGGCCAGTATAACATATCTAAGTTAGCATAAATTTAACTTCACATACAATTCTATCGTTAACGAAATTAACACTAGTGTGGACGGGAGGTGCAAACGTAGCAAAAGGTCTACGTTTTTAAACGAAAACGCAGTAGTGTGGACGGGGCCCTTGGTGCCCTGAAACAGCGAACCGGCAGGGAAACCGAACCGTCAGTGCTGCGACCCTCCTCAGAGAGTCGCGCCCCAAAGGGCACTGAGGAGAAACGATTTCTCAAAACCGTCCCTACCCCAGAGGGGACCACCCTTGGAAGCCTGACCGCCTCAGCGTCAGGGCTTCCCCTTTGTCCAAGCTTTTTTAGAGATAAAACAGTCCTCAGATCTTGCATATCTCTAACTGGCTATAGACTGTTGTTTTGCACCTTGTGCTGCGAGGAGCTTAATAGGCCGAGACTGCTCTTGTCCAGCAGTCTCAGGAACATTGGTGAGGAAGAAACCTCTGTAACACCGCTGAATGGATTATTTCATAGTTTTCTTGAAAGCGGAGCGTCCAGAAGAACAGACATATTTATACCTTTATTTTCCCATTATCTTTATATCGGGAAAAACATGTGTACATATAATTCTGTGGACACCAGAGGGAACAACCGAACTGGCAGCGCTGCTACCCTCCTCAGAGAGTCGCTCCTCACACTCATTCCATACCCACCAGGGCTGCCTAATAAAAATGTAGGCTATTCATTATTTATGATGGCTGGTGGGTAACGTCGGGGTTAAAAACGATGACACCAACTCGGGAGAGAGAAAGCTTGCAAGCGTCTCTTTAACCCACACTGAAATACCCAAACATTGCTATAATTAGACATCTGGGGATTAAACACATAAAATATAAACCCCGGCGACGAGGATGCTGTGATACAGAGTTTTCTAGTTTTTAAGATAAAATTAATCTAAAAACTCTTATTTATTTTTCAATCTCATAATGTTCAGCTAGCCAGTAAAATTTTAACTGGCAATAAAACCTCCTTTTAAAAACTCCTCTTTATTCAGCAGATATGAGCTGACTTATTTATTCATTCATTTAAAAGTCAAACATCTGCCTTTCTCTTAACATTTTTATTTGTTTTGTACTGTTTCTTTTTAAAACAAAACACTAACGATACCAATTCCTCGGAACTGGAAATCGCAGTCCACTAGATCTGGCATGTGAAAGCTGAGATAGAGCTGAGCTCGTCCCAACCCCCGCTGTCAGATCCATTTGCGAACCCCGAAATGCGAGTCGTCTCCGTGCCTCGGCAACAGAGAGACCCGCGCGGGGACCGCGAACCGAACCGCCCTCCTCGGAGAACGCCCGGCGGGAGCGGAGCGTCCTCGCGGACAGCTTCTCGCAATGCCCACAGTCAGCTCCCTCGAGAACTGACTGCTGGCATGCTCCACTCCCAAACAAATAGCTGATGTGTGTCCCCACCCGTGATGTAACGAGGGCAGGGAACCACACAGCGTCTATAATCTTGCTTGCTAGTGATATATGTGATATATAGTGATAGATAGTGATATATATTTCTTTTCTTGGCTTTGACAAACAACAATAAATAGACAAGGACAGAGTACAGAGATCGCTTGCTGAAGGCTACAGAAGCTGTCGTGGTCTGATCTCAAGGGTGATTTATAGTTTCCTGGTCGATGACGTCACCTGACATCCTACTCTCTCATTGGACTGATTGCACAGACGCTTCACGACGCAATCGTGCAGAGCGTTCCCATCGCGTTTGACAATGCAGCTCGAAGTTCCCTTGAAAGGGAACAATGGCTATCTGATTCTGAACATCTTTGCCAGCGCAAACCAGTACAGAAGTAGCCTAATAATAAATTATCGGGGAGGCTCGTGCTTTTTTTCACAATTATTTTGGGGGGTCATAGAAAAATGTAGTACTGGCGAAGGGAGGGTCAAGTCTTTTTTGACTACAGATCTTAAAACTCTTTTGGTGGCCCCTTAAATAAAAAACCAACAGTCCCAAAGTCATTTTTTTTTGTAGGAAAAACTATAGGCCCACTCACTTTTTCACTGGCCCGCCCAAAATGCAATTTCTGCCCATGCCACTGGTGTGAGTAGGGGAGACCAGGGACAGTTGTAACAAGGGACGGTTGTAACACTTTGAATTTCTCCAATCAGAAACAACCTAGAGTGATGAGACTCACTCTGCTCATGCTCAGGTAGTTTCCCACCATTTTTTTCCAAAAGGGAGCTACAGTTGAAACTTTCTGGCAGAGTTATCAATAAAAGGTTGTTTTTGAGGTAAAAAAAATACTTTTCTTTCTGATGTACTTTTTTGGATGCTGTTATAAAATAAAAATTTTATTAATTCAAACAAGTATTATTAGAATCACTGTTTTTTCAGCTAAAAATAGAAATGGCTAACAAGTGTCAAACTAGCAGTCAAGCTAGCTCACATGAGATGAAAACATGGTTGGTGATACTGGGACGGTTGTAACGCCCCGTTACAACTGTCCCTGTATCACCAACCAAGTTTCGTTTATATTTTAAAAACTAATTAAGTTAAAAAAAACTGCATAGTTTCCATTTAATGTGCAAATTAAAAGTAAAATGTGCATTGTGCATAGCAAATTAAATGTAAAATGTCATCATATGGCATTTGCCATGTGACCCTGCACCGATTCCACAAGAAGAGGAGTCAGGGATCAAAGACACTTCCCAGAGTTGGATACTGGATAAATTAATAGTCACAATAACATGACTGATACATAATATTTTCCATTTTGAGTAGGTTATATCATTTAATTCATTATGTAGCCTATATTTTAGACATGTTACAACCGTCCCTGACATAATGTTACAACCGTCTCTGTACACTGGGACGGTTGTAACAGTGGAGATACTATATTGAAATTAATTTTGCAACCTATACATATTTCATAAAACTACTTTAATACATTGTTTCAGCAGTAGACTGATTGAAGTTTATAATATAACAAATTGGATATTCCAGTATAAATGGTTTTTGATGTATTGCTAAAAATTGCAAAAAGTGTTACAACTGTCCCTGGTCTCCCCTAGGCTATGTGTGAATCTGCAAATCAGTGCTTTGAAATCTTAAATATTCAATCTGTGACAAAACTATTACATTCTTTGCCTTTTTATTTTGTCAAGTCGAGTTTTGATACTGTAGCTACTACTATATTTTTGTGAGTTACTTGTTATAGTGTTATCTGAATGCTATGTTGTACATCATGCAGGAGGATCGTCAAATGGTTGAGACAGGCAGAGAAAGAAAGAGAGAGACAGGAGCAGACCGACAGGTAAGAGAGATGTAGAAGATTAGCCCTTTAGAAGCTTGATTTAAGTTTAGTCTCATGGCTTTGAGTGTGATTGTGACTTTTTTGCTTTAGGGAGTTCAAAGCATGCTTGACAGAAGCAGAGGCAAAAACAGGGACAGAGAGTTTAGTGACATTAATGAAGATTCAAGTCAGAGGATAGAGCCATATCAGCCACACCCAAAATGTATACCAACTCAAGTGCTATCTAATAGAGTTTTATATTTCCAAGAGAGGTGGTACAAGGAATTTCCCTGGCTGCATTGTGTTGCATTGCAAAAAGGGGTTTTGTGTTTCCATTGCAGGAAAGTGTATCAAGAAAAACCCTCACCCTTTGCAGCAAAAGCAGAGCCTGCCTTTATAAATACAGGATTTAAAAATTGAAAAAGAGCGATTGAAAAATTTAAAGCACATGCAAGTAGCCATACGCACTGTCATGCTGTTTCTGTGACTTCACAAAAAAAATCACCCTGTAGATGCCCAATTGTCCAGTGCTTTGGCAAAGCAACAAGCAGACAATAGGCACTGTCTTGGGAAAATAGTAAGTTCTATAAAATATTTAGCAGGTCAGGGACAGGCCTTGAGAGGGCATAACAATGAAAATAGTAATTTTTATCAGCTCTTGAAAAACAAAGCAGAGGATGATGTCCTTTTAGACAAATGGTTGCAGAGGCCCCAGAAAGAATACATTAGCCCAGAGATCCATAATGAAATTCTGTCTACAATGAGCAACAGTATTGTTCGTGGAATAGCTGACACAATTAGGGATCTACCTATTCTTCAGTATGCAATTATCATTGATGGAACACAAGACATATCTGGGCAAGAACAAGAAAGCATATGCCTGCGTTATAGTGACAATGACCTGATTCCCCATGAAGAATTCATTGGTTTGTACGTTGTCTCAGATACAACAGGAAAGAGTCTTGCTGAAGTTGCTAAGGTTGTGCTGCTGAGATTAAATTTACCAATCCATGGTTTACGAGGTCAAACTTATGATGGGGCTGCTAATATGTCCGGTGTTACGGATCAACTGGGATCATGTTAACTGGGGACGCGCGCCTGCACGCAGACAGTTTTACCTGGATTTCCAGCAGATGTTAACAGCGACAGATTCGTGCCCTATTTTTCACCGATAAAAACGAATATGTCAACGAACAGAGGAGTCCAGAGTAGATTGCAGAAAAACCTCAGTACTTTAATGAGAAATAAATCACCGCCTCACAGGCTGAATCAACAGAAAGAGTCTTTTCACAGAAGGAAACAGAAAGTAGCTCTGTAGCAGGATCAGACGGTGATAGTGGACCTCAGCTGGCTACCCAGAGGAGTCAGGAGCTATGGAGTCGATACAGCGCTCTTGCAGGTAGACCCTCCGCAACTCTCCTTGGCGACTGCTGGGAGTGATACAGAAGCAGTATAGAAAAGCGGTAGGCAATGGTCGTCTCAGACACGCAGGACCAAACAGGACAGGTGAAACGATTACTGAGAGGAATCATACGACAGCGATCCAACATACGTAAGGGTCAAATAATCCGACAATTCAGACGAGAAAGAGATCTAGAAGTAGCGTGGAGATGAGGAGAAGATAGAGAACAGGTGTGTAGTTGATGAGAACATGAGAGTCAGCTGACGGTAATGAGAGGAAGAGATAATGGATGTGTATGCGTGTAGAAATAGAAGAAATGATAAGGTCTAACCAGCAGAGGGAGACAAAGGAAAGAAAACAGAAGGAAAGAACCAGGCTCATGACAGAATATTTCACCAGTTGTACACGGTATGCAAATCGCTTTGTTTTTGCAGTGTATGATATTCCATTTGACGCATTTTCAAAGAAGTTTAACATACTTTAGTGTCAAGCTCAGAAACCACGCCCATGTTAACAAGGGTCATTCGCTTACATTGGATGAACAGTGTAAACAGGAACATTCTAAAACGCTTAAAGTGAAAAACGCTTAACGTGGCTTACTGTAAGACAGTGATATTAAAAGACCAAATTCAGTACACATCATATTAATAAACCATACTATGTATAAAAAAATTAGATGAGTCCAGAATATCAACGCAACACGATTAATAACACGTTAAGCATTTTCTTCCCATAGAAAGCGTCAGCGTCAGTTCTGGCAGGCCAGGTAGTCAAGACGCTGTTTATGCCATTTGCTAATACAATCTCGTCAGCTGATCCGCTCCAGCTGAGCTGCATTAGCTGAGTTACTCCCCTTGCTGCTCAATGGCCAAAGCTCAAACAAAGCACACCATTTAAAGCTCATTCAGATCTGTTTCGACCTCACTCTGACCGTCACTACGGTCTAATAGGATGATAACCTTCGTTCCGCCTTCTCTCGAGACCTTATGTAAACAAAGTCATGCCCATGACCCCGGAAGCGGAACGTCACGCACTATAAAAGGCGAGTTAACTTCCGGCTCGTTCTCTTTACCTTTCTCGCCTAGAGACCCGGTACAGGTAGGAACCGAATTAATTATGTATTCACCATTCAATTCATCACCCAGTTGGTGCAGGTGCCTTGTGCCCCTGTGAATTGTGGTGTTTTATATTTCTGTTTTATATTTCTGTTTGTGAATGATATTGATGCTAGTTCTACATACTAGCCAGTCAGTATTTCAATGCAAACACTCAATTCATGCTATACATTTGTGCTTATGAATTGAGAATTATAATGTATATTATACATTAGAATATTCATTATGAAACATACTAGCATTCAATATTATGGATTATTCTGTTGTTTTTTCAGAGTATCCATCAATAAACTAATGAATACACTTCATTACAAAAAGTTTGATGAGTATTATTGCCTTGGAGCCCTATATCACTGTTCGCAGCTGTTGGGGTTTGATAAAAGCCTGCTAAATACGTTCGCGTACTATTGCAGGTCTTTTTAGCTTTTGAGTGTGCTTGATATATCCTTCACTACTGTGCACAGTCAGTGGGATTGTGTGTGGCATGGCCTCTCATTGCTGCCGATATTGCCAATCATCAATGGACCCTCGTGATGGGCATAGGGAATGCCCTTCATGTCTAGGGATGGCTCATTTAAGAGAGGATGTGGATAATCCCTGCAGTGCGGCTTGTGACCTGCCCAGAGGGGAACGACTTCACCGCGCTAATAGAGTACGCAGTTCTGTACCTGAGCGTGGTAGGGAAAGGGAACGCTCATCGGACAGGTATAGTCGTAAGCGCTCCCGCAAGCACTCACGTGATGGCCATGAGCCACACCGATCAAGCCATGAGAAGGTGGTGGAGGTGGCTAAACCCCCAACTCCTGCTCCACCAGCGGAGGATGGGAACACTGACACTCATCTACAGATCCTGGCTGCTATTCAAAGTTTAGCACAGAGGATGGACAGAGTTGAAGCCCGTCACTCATTTTCACCATCGCTACCTCATAGTCAGGAAGGCGTTCCTCCAGCTGCACGGCAGGGTAATCCTGATACTGACATCGAAGAGGCTGATGTATTATCTCTCATTGCTCCCCACTCGCTGGTTGATTTTGCACAGCAAGCAGAAGAAGGGAGCCAAGGAGAGGAACCCCACTCAGATTCTGCCGAAGTGGATGGCGAATCAACAGGGAGGGATGATTTTCCAGCAAATACTCTTGTTGCCAGGGTGTTTAGTGCAGCAAAAATTCTTTGCTTACAACCTTCTGTGCCTGACCCAGCTCCTGTCGGGGGCGTCTGGGAAGGCATACCTCAGACTAATTCTCCATCTTGCATTCCAGTGGCAGATGACTATACCTCAATGTTGAGGACAACATGGAAGAAACCATCTCAGAAGCCTCAATTCAATGCAGGCTGCAGACGGTTGGCCAATGCCCGTTACCCAAAAGAAACTGGACTGGGGGACATGCCACCAGTAGAGCAAGAAATAGCATCAT